TTAAATTATAACAAGTATAGTTAGTGGATTGACAAAAAATAAAAACAAATGCAATTATGCAATATGAAACGCTTCACGTCCGGTGATACGCAGCTAGTGTGGGCTGTAATGGTAGTATATATKGTTATTGACAATATTATTTTATTAAACTTACTTTTAAAGGATTTATTCAACTATATGCAGCTCAACTCCGAGGGAACGTGCTCTATAACGTTTCAAAATATTACAGTAGCCTAGCTGCAGTGTCGTATCAAAACCTATTAAATATTGGCATAAAATAGGACAAAAATAAAAATCTATAAAATACTACGTACGTCACAACTAACAGCGTGTTATACCATATATCTCGGGCCTGACGGGCCTCGAATTATATAACTAATAAATATAATACTATATGTGTGTATACGTATATTATATATTTTATTATGTATACAAGCATGCCCGCAGGATAAAATCCCACCCGGGGCAAGAATCTTGCCGCAAGATCAAAATTCTAAAACCAAATCAAAAAGATTATTTTAAATTTTAATATATTTTTAGTGTCATCGTTCTAAAATAGCATAACCTAAATATAGAAAAAAAACAACATTATATGTCATCACATAAGTCCCTTATATGTGTAGGTTTACAATACATTATTAATATTTTTTGAATACATGTTAATGTAGATGTTACAAATTAATTATATTTATATTAATTATCAAATAAAAGTTGTATGCGTCTTGGTTGTAAAAAAATGATTGTATAACGTCTTCAATCATTTTTTGTTTTTGCTTTTTAACAATGTCTTTAATATGCGTGTCATTAAATTAACAATAATTTTAAAATATTTCCAGTAGGGGCAATGGCCCCTTTGGCCCCCTTGTATGTATATGAATGTAGGCGGATATTGATTGATCAAAAATCTCTAACATATCKTTTTCGATCGAAAACCGCCTATAACGATGAAAGGTATACAGGGTGATTATTTTAAGTGGGTACACTAATTATCTCGAAAAGTATTAACTCTTTTTTAATTTTTTTTTTTTTAACTTCTAGGTTAAGTTTTTCTAAAACCGTATGATATTTTAATTTTTTTCACCCTTATATTTATTGGTGAAATTACTATCAACTTTTGATTTT